CCCCCCCATTGATCCCCTTCCACAACCCCCCTCCATGATCCCACTCTTTGATCCCCTCCCTGATCCCGCTCCCTGTCCCCTCTCCCGTGGAAGGTTGGGAAGTGCAGAAGTGCAGGAAGTGCCGGTTCCCTCCCAGTTGTGCCCAGGGTGGGTGTTTGGGCTTCCTCTGGATCCCAGATCCCAGGGTTTGTCCATGAGGAAACCCCCTGGGAAGCTCCCGAGCGGCTCCTGGTGTTCCCTGCTCCCAAGAGCCGTCAGAGAACCAAAACACAGGAACAGGGAAGGGCGGGAAGAGCCAGGAATGGGTGGGATGGAGGAAAATCCATCCGGGAGGGGCCTCTCTGTGCCCCAGAGAGGGGACAAGGGGCAGCTCCCGTTCTCCCTGCACTGGGAATGCTGGCACAGGGACATTATCCAAGGGCTGTCCGCCCGGGATTCACCAGCAGAGCCCTGGGAAAGGGCAGAGATCCGGAGAGCAGGAACGTGGAACCCCCGGAACGGGGCATTCCCGTGGAGAAACGGGAGCCGAGGGGTGAAGATGAGGAGAACGGGAGCTGCTCCAGCTCCTCTGGCTTCCCTGGGCATTCCCTGGGCATTCCCTGGGATCCAAACACCTCCGGGAGCTGGGGCAGGGTCGGGATCTGCCGTCCCTGGGCTGGATGGGATCTCACCCACACATGGAAGGAGGGAGGATCCTTCCCATGGGAGCCCTGGGATGCTTTCCCAAGGAGGACAGGGCAGGATTTGGGCTCTGCACATGGAAAAGCTGCTGCCCTGGGGAGCTGGAGGAGGGAAAACCATCCCTGTGACCCCTGGAGAACCCCCCGAGACCAGAGGATCCCCCTTTCCAGCAGGAAAAGCCCCTGGTCAGACTTGGCTCTGCCCGGCTGGATCCCCATTCCCGCAGGATGCCCCGGGAATGTCACACCCACACCCAGACTGGAGCTTTTCCTTTTCCCAGCTCCTTCCCCAAACCATGGGAGCCACAGCCCAGCGGGAGCATCCCCTGGATGAGGGGAACGGGGATGAAAGGAATGAGCCACGAGGTTTCCGTGGATCACGTTCCCACCACCATCCCTCCTTTCTGACGATCCCGGGAGGGATCAGAACAGTTCCCATGGATCATGTTCCCACCACCATCCCTCCTTTCTGATGATCCAGGAGGGATCAGGGCATTGTCCTCCCCTGAGGATCCATCCGGGGTTTCGGGTGGGCAGGAGGGACCGGGATGGCAGCAGCACCACCCGCTGCTGTGGGAAACAGGGAAAGGCTGGTTTTTTTGGGAATGGGGGGCTCGGAGGGGGTGTGAATCCCTGACAATTCCCTGCAGAACCGGATGCACGAGTCCCTGCACCTCTTCAACAGTATATGCAACCACAAGTTCTTCGCAGCCACCTCCATCATCCTCTTCCTCAACAAGAAGGACCTTTTCGAGGAGAAGATCAAGAAGGTCCATCTCAGCATCTGCTTCCCGGAGTACGACGGTGAGTCCGGAGCAATCCCGGCATTCCCACCCCCTGGAGACCCCCCGGAGCAGGGGAGGGGGGGGTCACGTGGGCCTGGAGGGGAGGGGATGGGATGGGATGGGATGGGGTGGGATGGGATGGGGAGGAATGGGATGGGATGGGGAAGGGGAGGCAAATAAGCAGAGTCAGTTCCATCCAAAAAATTAGGGCTGGGGAAGGGATCGGATGATCAGAGTTGGTTCCATCCCCAAAAAGGGGCCAGGGAAGGAGAAGGGGATGAGGATGAGCAGAGCTGGTTCCATCCCAAAAATTAGGGCTGGGGAAGGGATCAGACAATCAGAGTCAGTTCCATCCTGAGAAGGGCTGAGGAAGGGGAGGAGGATGAGGAAGGGGAGGATGAGGATGAGCAGAACCATCTCCATCCCCCTCCCTGGAGTGCTGAGTCCAATCCCTGGAGGCTGGAGCAGAGGAGGGGAGCGCTGTGCCCTCGGGAGGGGGTTTGGGAGGCTGGAGACGGGATAAATCCACGCTTTTCAAGCTTTCCCCAGGCGTGGTCACCCCCAGCCCTTCTCCAGAGCTCCTCCCTGCAGGAGCGGCTCCAGAACATTCCCTCCCTCCCTGCACAGGCCCCAACACGTTCGAGGACGCCGGGAATTACATCAAGACCCAGTTCCTGGACCTGAACATGAGGAAGGACGTGAAGGAGATCTACAGCCACATGACCTGTGCCACAGACACCCAGAACGTCAAGTTCGTCTTCGACGCCGTCACGGACGTGATCATCAAAGAGAACCTCAAGGACTGCGGCCTCTTCTGAGCCCGGGAAGGTGCGGGGGGAATGGGGCTGGAAAACCAGGAATGGGGATGCCAGGAATGCCAGGAATCCCGGGAAAAGGGAGGGGAGGGCGATGAGCAGAGGAGGCTCCAGCCAGTAAAGGGACTGGGGAAGAGGATGAGGATGAGCAGAGCCAGAAAAAGGGCTGGGGATGAGGGGGATCATCCCAAAAAAGGGCTGGGGAAAGGGGGAGAGGGAGGAGGAGGAGGATGAGCAGAGCTGGGTCCGTCCCACAGGGTCACAGATTCATTTAGGGTGGAAAAGACCTCTGAGATCATCGAGTCCACCCTGAGCCTGTCCCCCCCTTGTCCCCCAGCCCAGAGCACTGAGGGCCATGTCCAGGCCTTCCTGGGACACCTCCAGGGGTGGGGACCCCAAACCTCCCTGGGCAGCCCCTGGCCACCCTTTCCATGGGGAAATTCCTCCTGATGTCCAACCTGATCCCCCCGGCTCAGCCTGAGGCCGTTCCCTCTCCTCCTGTCCCTTGTTCCCTGGGAGCAGAGCCCGACCCCCCCCAGCTCCCCCCTCCTGTCAGGGGGTTGCAGAGCCAGAAGGTCCCCCCTGAGCCTCCTTTTCTCCAGGATGAGCCCCTTTCCCACCTCCCTCAGTTCTCCTGCTGCTCCAGACCCTTCCCCAGCTCCGTTCCCTTCCCTGGACACACTCCAGCCCCTCCATGTCCTTCCTGTCCTGGGGGTCCAGCCCCAGGTCCAGCCCTGCAGTTGCCCCTCCCCAGTGCCCAATCCCTGCCCTGGTCCTGCTGCCGCACCATTCCCGATCCAGGAATGCCAGGATGCCAAGAAGGGCCCCCTGGGCCCCCCCAGGCTCATGTCCAACCCCCAGGTCCCTTCCTGTCCCCTCCCTCTGTCCCCACCCCTGGAGCTCCAGAGGGCAGGACCTGGAATGTGGAGTGGTGGAACCTCATCCCATTGGATTCAGCCCATCCTCATCATCACAGGGATGAAGGCCAAGGCAAAGGGTGGGATATGGGATTCTCCATCCTCATCCTCATCACAGGGATGAAGGCCAAGGGAAAAGCTGGGGGATTCTCCATCCTCATCCTCATCATCACAGGGATGAAGGCCAAGGCAAAGGGTGGGATATGGGATCCTCCATCCTCATCTTCATCACAGGGATGAAGGCCAAGGTGCCCCTGCCCCGGGGGTGTTTGACTCCCTGTTCTCTCTCCCTTTCCCAGGAAACATTCCCATCTCTCCGTTCTGCTGAGCAGAGCCAAAGGAAGAACCACCCCCTCCACACGTCACCGCTCCCACTTTTTCTATGACCGCCCCAAATCCGCCTCCTTTCACCCCAAACTAGGAAGGGGCTGAACTCAACGTCCTGCTCCCTTTCGTGGCCATTTCCTCTTTTTTTTGTTTTTTGGTTTTTTTTCCAAGGAAAACTCCCCATTTTCAGCGTTCCACGGGAGGTTTGACACCAAGACACAGCCAGGAATAGGAATATTGAGGGAATTTGGGAGGCAGGGATGGGAATTCCCCCCTGGCCATCCCTCCACAGCCCATTCCTGCCCTTGGATCGGGGCTGGATTCATCCAAGCTGGAATTTCTGGAGGAGGAAGCTGAGTTACCTCCGAGTGGCTCCTGGGAACCCACCCCAGCCCTTCCCGGGAATCGACCCTTTGGCAGGAGAAATCAGGGATCCCTGGGGTTCTCTGGGGCCCTGAACGGCGGGAATTCCTCAGGCAGGAAGGGCCGGGGGAGGGAATCCCAACTCCAGCCCGGGAATGGGAATGGGAATGGGCTGGATAAAGAGGAAATGGTTGCTTGAAACATTTTCGTTCTGCTACTTTAGAGCCGCGTTCGCTCTCTCTGTTTGTAAATAATCCGTAGGTGATCCCTGGAAATCCCTGGATCCTCCTTTCCCTGCTCCCTGCACAGATCTCCCCTTCCAGCTTCACTTCGGTAGGAAAACACAATAAAGGAATGTGCATGACTGGGATTGTCCTTCCTTCCCCGCTTCCCAGAGCTTGGATCCAGGGCCGCTTCCCATCCTTTGCACCCATTCCCGGCTCTCTGGATTGCCTGGATCTCTGGATCCCACCTGGATCACCCTGGGGTTGGGAGCTGTGCTCCTGGAGGGGGGGGGGAAGGGGGTCCCAAACCCAAAAAATTCCTGGTCAGAGCACCTGGAAAGGGTGGAATGAGGAAGGAGGAGTTATCCCATGGAGGGAAGGCTCCAGGAAGGGAATTTTGGGGCAGACAGAGCTCCAGGGAGCTTGGAAAAAATTCCAGAGGAGGGAAACAGTCCCTGGAGCTGCTGAGAGCTCCCACAAGGAATTTATCCTGGAATTCTAAGGAAGCATCCCCAGAAAGGTGCCACCTCCATCCCACAGCAGCATCCAGGGCAGAATTCCCACCAGGATCTCAGCAGCCAGATTTGGGCTGTCAACAGGTAAATCCTCCTGCCGAGAATCCCACGGACAATGGGATTCCTGGAATGTTGCAGGACAGCCCAAGTCTTTGGGAGCAGCACAACCCCAGCAGTGGGGGTTGATGGAGCACAGGGAACCTCCCTGTGCCGAGAATTCCACTTCATTCCCATCAAAGAGCACAGGGAATCTCCCCATCCCAACGATTCCCATCCAAGCTCTTCCCTCCCTCCTCCAGCAAAGCACCAAAAACTGGGAGAGCTCCTGGAAAAGGATGAAGAAACCAGAGCAGAGGCTTCACTCACCATTTTAATAACTGCCAACAAATCCAACGGATCCGACTGGACACGGACAGAACCGGGAAAAGGGGCTGGATGCAGACAGGGATCAGCAGAGGAACGCACGGAGCGGGTGGGGGGGATTTGGATTTGGCACCACCCGGACAAAGGAAAGGCAGGCTCAGGAAAACCGGGGCTGGGAGGGCCTTGGGAAAGGCAGGATGGGATCGTCCCCCCTCCCCATCCCCAAAAACACCCGGGAATCTGCGGCTCGGGAGCTGCAGTTCCCCCCTCGGCTCCAGCCGGGAATGCCAAGCTGGGCATAAAACCGGGAATAAACCCCCCCCCCCGGAGCCCAATCCCCCTTCTCCTGCCCCAGGAGCCTTTCCCAACGCTGGGGGAGCGGGATGGGAATGAGTCACACGGGGAAGAGCTCCAGGGATCCTTCAGGAGCTGCAGGAACAGGAACTCCTGGAATTCCTGCCGGGAGGAACGTTCCCCGCAGGATCTCCACGTGCATAGTTGAGTGAGAGTTGTTTTTTTTATTATTCTCATTTTTTTTTATTATTTTAATTATTTTGAACCCAAGGCTGAGAGGAACAAAGGGGAGGGAAGGGACAGTTTCCTGCCCGGAATAAAAACACCCAAAATAACCTTAAAAATGGAATAACAGGGGCTGGCAACGAAGGAAGAGGGAGCTACAGAGTCAAGGGCTGGAATGAGGCTGGAATTCAGCTGGAATGAGGCTGGAATTGGGCTGGAATCCAAGGGCTGCAATCTGCTTGGAATTGGGCTGGAATCCAGCTGGAATCCAAGGGCTGGATTGGTTGGGAATGGTTGGAATGGTTGGAATCCCACTGGAATCAGGCTGGAATCCCACTGGAATCCTGCTGGAATCAGACTGGAATTGGGCTGGAATCCCATTGGAATCCAAGGGCTGGAATCTGGTTGGAATCCCACTGGAATCAGGCTGGAATCCAAGGGCTGGAATCTACGTGGAATCTGGCCAGAATCGTGCTGCAATCTTCTTGGAATCCCACTGGAATCCAAGGGCTGGAAGCTGGTTGGAATCCCACTGGAATCAGGCTGGTATCCCACTGGAATCCTGCTGGAATCAGGCTGGAATCCCACTGGAATCAGGCTGGAATTGGGCTGGAATCCAGCTGGAATCCAAGGGCTGGAATCAGGCTGGAGTCTGGCTGGAATCCCACTGGAATCAGGCTGGTATCCCACTGGAATCCTGCTGGAATCGCACTGGAATTCCACTGGGATCCCACTAGAATCAGGCTGGAATCCCACTGGAATCAGGTTGGAATTGGGCTGGAATCCAAAGGCCGGAATCAAGCTGGAATCCAAAGGCCGGAATCAGGCTGGAATCTGGATGGAATCCCACTAGAATCAGGCTGGAATCCCACTGGAATCCAAGGGCTGGAATCTCGGTGGAATCAGGCTGGAATTGTGCTGCAATCTGCTTGGAATCCCACTGGAATCCCGCTGGAATCCCGCCAGAAGCCCACTGGAATCCCACTGGAATCCACGCAGATCTCACCATCCAGTGATGCCGGGAGGCTCCGCCCCCACATTCCATGATCTCCACCCCCACTCCCCACCCCCCCATTCCCCAAATCCACGTCCCCACCAACACGAGGTCCCCAGGAAGGAAGGAGGTTGTGCCGGAGCCTCCCGGCGTTCCCGCGGCTCCGCGGCCGTTCCGGGCCCGTTCCCGGCACATTCCCGGCGCATTCCCGGGGCGTTCCCGGGGGTCCCTCAGTAGAGGCCGCACTCCTTGAGGTTGTTCTTGATGATGACGTCGGTGACGGCGTCGAACACAAACTGCACGTTGCGCGTGTCGGTGGCGCAGGTGAAGTGGGTGTAAATCTCCTTCGTGTCCCGCCGCCGGTTCAGCTCCTCGAACTGGCTCTGGATGTAGGCGGCCGCCTCCTCGTACGTCTGGGAGCCTGGAATGAGGCACAAATCCCGGGATTTTGGTGCTGGAGTGGGGAGGAGGGGGCTAGCAGAGCCCGGGGGGGTGGGGAGTGACGAGAGAACGGGGAGGGAGGTGGGGAGGGACGGAAAGAGAAGGGGGGATAAAGGGTGGGATGGAGGGTGGGTGGGAAGGGACCTTAAAATCATGGAATCATGGAATGGTTTGGGTTGGAAGGATCTTAAAGGAAAAGATGGAAGAACCTTGGAATCACGGTTTGGGTTGGAAAGGACCTTAAAATTGTGGAATGGTTGGGAAGGATCTTAAAGGAAAAGAGGGAAGAACCTTGGAATCATGGTTTGGGTTGGAAGGACTTTAAATCATGGAATCATGGAATGGTTT